TCGCTCTTCTCTGGACACGTTCCAGGTCATAGTCCTGCTGGGTTCCTGCCATGCTTGCTAGACATTTTTGTTGTAATTGATCTGTTTTGTAGACAGAATCACAGAACCATAGAGTTGGAAGAGACCTCAAAGGCCACCCAGTCCAACCATCTGACATCTGGACTAAATGATGGGTTATGTCATATCTTTGGTGTTGCTGGGTGGACAGGAAGGTTTTCTTCTCTTGTAGTTGGGTAATGAACGTATGTAAAGGGGAGGTGAGATGCACCGGAAGCTGTCAAGCTGAGTCCTCAGGAAATGTCTGGTACAGAGAGAGAGACAACAGGGCTGTCCTGGGAAGAGGGATGTTTTGGCTGAGGAACAAATGGGGGTTGAGTGGCGAAAGGGCCATCTGGTGACCCTCTGAATGAGAGCTCCCCAAGACACACGTCATCAGCAGCTCCTACAGACTCAGGCCAGCTATTTTGGTTTCCCATATTCTATTAGCCAAGATTATGCATTGGGATAGCATGGCACAAATCTCTGCATATGGACATATTCAGAAATAGTGCTGCACAACTCTTGGGTTGAATGGCAATGTTCAGCAAGTGAAGTACTATTACCCATTTCAGCAACAACCAACAGACAGCATGACCAGGTGGTTTGAGTGTTGGACTATGACTCTGATGAACAGGGTTTGAATCCTGGCTCAGCCATGGAAACCCACTGGGTGACCTTAGGCAAGTCACATTCTCTCAGCCTCAGAGGGAGGCACTGGCAAAATCTCCTTGAAGAAATCTTGCCAAGAAAACCCCATGATAGGGTCACCATAATTTGGAAATGACTTGAAGGCACACAACATTACACACACACACACACACACACACACAGAAAGAGAGAGAGAGAGTGACACATAGGTTGAGAATGCACAGCCACATGCTCACTAGTACTATACATGCAACCCCAATTCTACAACCTTAAATTGAATGCAGGCATTAGATGCTGGACAAAAATGTCCAGATACTTCCATAGGGGTACTTATGCATATACAATACACCAACAAGGCTTGTGCAAGACTTGAGCAGGGCAGTTGATGACAGGGGCTCTTGGAGATCTTGCCTTCATAGGATAGTTATAGGTGGAAGTCAGCTTGACAACAGGCAACAACAGAGGGCGAGTTTACACTGTAAAAATAATGCAGTTTGACACCACTTTAAATGCTGTAGCTCCATCCTATGGAATCCTGGGATCTGTAGTTTGACAAGGTCTTTAGGCTTCTCTGCCAAACAGGGCTGGAGCCTCACAAAACTCCAAATCCTTGGATTCTGTAGGATTCTGTAGGGTGGAACCAGGGCAGTTAAAGCAGCATTATTTCTACAATGTAGATGCACCTAAAGACACCAACAGAATTCTGGTTGCAATATTATAGTTGAGACATCTACAGTTAAGCGGCACATGCCAACTTGTTAAGTAAATTACAACACTGTGCAACTAAATGCACAATGTGCATTGACACACAATTTGAAATTCAGTTGTCCCTCTGCATCCACAGATTCAACTATTCACAGCCTGATATATATATAATCCAAAAAGCAAAAATTGATTGAGCCATTCTATATAAGGGACACCATTTTACTATCCCATAGGATACAATGGGACTTGAGCATCCATGGATTGTAGTATCCTAGAACCAAACCCCAGCAGAGAGTAGGGTCCACTGTATGCACAAAGTGTGATGTGTTTTTTGTACCAATGAACAATTTGCATCTATGCACAATGATAGTACATAGCAAACCTTGCTTCTGCAACCTTGAACTGAACATGTCTCATTGAACACTAGACAATAGCTTCCACTGGTGAACTTATTCAAACACACGACACCAACAGGATGTCAGCCTGGAATCTTATTGACATCTTACTTATGGTTCCTACATAAATATATACTTGAAGCCTGACTATTGTACTCTAACAATACATGTGTATGAGTGGATTGTTATTTGTGAACACTCCTACTAAAATAACCCAGGCTTTTCTGTTTTGAATGTTCAGCTGGATATAAAGTTTTATTCTGTTCACTATGATTGTATTATTTATTGCTCTTTTTTAAAATATATATATATATATATATATACTGGCTTGTTTTTAAATCTTTTATGCACATACCATCCTGAAATCTATTTTTGGATAAAGGGTGAAGCTTATAAATACTTAATCCTTGCTAGTTAAAGGATTAATCCTTGTTGACATTGGGTCCTACTAGCCTGAACATGAGCAAAATTGGTCTGGCAGATCTGAAGAGCTTCAATGAGGGGACTTAAGTTGGAAAGTAATCTAGCAAAACATAATTATCCTTAGGTTATTTTTTTGCAGAAAGACCATCTAAATCTCCTGCAGTTGAAACCCTATGCACTGGGGATGGGCAATTGTGGGTGAACACGACAAACTCCCCCCCCACCAAACCTCCACAGGCCAGTGACAGAGAAAGAAAGCCCAAATGCCTCAAATTTCCACTATAATCTCTCTCAAAATGGTGGTAGGAAATGATGTTCTGTTGCCATTTTGAGATAGTCTGCAGAGGAAAACATAGGTGTTTGAGGGTACAAGTTGAGTCTCCCTTACCTGAAGTTCCAAAATATGAAATTTCAAAATGTGAAATTTCCCAACCCAAAGATAGCCCTTGAAACAGGGAATCCAGATGCTATGCCAGATGCAACTCCCAAGAGTAGTGTGTACTCAGTCCTGTCTCCTTGCAAAGGTGCAGGCACCAAGACAAATACAAAGTTGGAAAGAGAGAGAAAGAACCACCTTCAATAGCCAGCCTTCATGGCTCAAGCACACAGATCATAACAAATGGTCCTGTACACAATTTCACTTGTGGTCTGGAGTTCTGGGGATTCTTTCCCAACTTCTGCACCCAAAGGTGTGGTAACTGCATTTAGTACCTTTAAGATACTGGGGTTGCCCGTATTCTCCACCAATTTTGTTACCCAAAATTCTGGGGTCTCAGGAGGGCACCCACAAATTAAGATGTTTAGGGGAATTTTAATACCACAAATAAAATTATATTTTGGCTGGGGCAACAGTCAGCTTTGGGATCGTAACCCTTTGTATATCAATTCCAAATTGCACAGATCACCACAGGCAATTCCAAATAAGTTTTGTAGTAAAAAAATAAGCAACACGCACACAAGCACACACTCATGCAGGTGGTAGAATGGGAAAATTGGAGGCTTTACTAATTATAATGCAGTATAAATCCTAATTCATGGTTCCAATCGATGGGTGTCTGGAACAGAGATGGCTCAATAGCCACCTCGACAAGTTGGGTGGCCAGCTTATTGAGGAGTCTGGTAGAATGAATAGAGGTTTTCCCCAGTCCCAAACTAGACCAAATTGCTATTGTCTGGGTGGTAGGATATATACTCAAAATCATATCATGGGGCAGTAATCTCAGAATGAATGGATTAACTCACTGCTAAAAGGTTTTCCAAGAGAGAAGAATGGTTGGGACATGGAGTAAATGCTTGGACAATTGCAATGAATGTCTCAGACAAAGGGAATAATCTACTTTTAGAGGAGTGTCCTTTGTCTGTGTATGCACAGCCATCTTCTTTAGCCAGGATCTCATCATTGCCCTCCTTACACAAAAGGGATTATGCCTTGGGTGATCTCATTGTGGTGGGTACCTTTGCTTACTCCCTCGCTAGAGTCAACTGGATTTCCAAAAACAGTATGGCCAGGTCACCCACCCCAGCATCCCTTTAATATTAAATGTATATGAGGGGTGATCCCCTGATATTAAATGCATATGAGGGGTGATTACCTTGGAGCAACTGGATTTCCAAAAACAGTATGGCCAGGTCACCCACCCCAGCATCCCTTTAATATTAAATGCATATGAGGGGTGATCCCCTGATATTAAATGCATATGAGGGGTGATTACCTTGGGGTAACACCAGTCTCCCAGAATCCTAGTCCTGCACTCAAACTGCTATACCATACTGGCTCTCTGCACAGTGTTCCGGTTCACTAACAAGGCAGAATTGCACAATTGTCCTAAAACGCCATGAGCATAAAGTTACTCTATCAGCTATTCTTCACCTCACTAAGAAATGACAACATTGAACAAAACCAATGCACATGCAATCAGAGCTGAAAACATTTGAAGGAGGCAGTGGGTTTCCTATGGAACTGCACAGCCCAAGAACAGGAAAACTGAAAGAAAACTAGAATTCCTCCTGAGGGCATCACAAATGATCTGTTTGTTTTCTTTTGTGGATGATGTAATAGCAGGGGTGTTTTTAAAAGCAATGGAGCAAATGCAAAGAAGAACCAGCACAAGGCACTAAAGTTGTTGCCACACTGCAGAATGAATGCAGTTTGATATTGCTTTAACTGCCATGACTCAACCCTATGAAAATCCTAAGATTTGTAGTTTGTTCTGGCACCAGAGCTTCCTGTCAAGGAAGGTTAAATAGCTCACAAAACTACAAATCTCAGAATTCCATGGCATTGAGCCACAGCAATTGAAGTGGTGTCAAACCACATAAAGTCTGCAGTGTCAGACACTAATGCTTGCAAAATCCAGGTTTCCAAGTGAATATACATTCAATGCATTGTCAAAAGGCCATCAGAGTTCAAATCCTCAGAGGGAGGATTAGGTAGGATTAAACAGAGGGCATGTGTTTAATGGATGAAGGGCCCAACTGGTTCACTTCTTCACTTCCTAGATGATCTCTCTCCTGTGGGGAAATAGTGTATGATTCTCTCCTCTCTGCTACATATAGTTTGCATTGCTTGATGCAAATGTGCTACGTAGGGAAGAAAAGAAGAACCATTACCCAGAATCCTGCTGATGTCTGTTGTTGCTGTTGTGCACTTTCACGTCATTTCCAACTTATGGTAACTCTAAGGTGCCTATCATGGGGGTTTCTTGGCAAGATTTGTTCAAAGAGGTTTACCATTGCCTTCCCCTGAGGCTGAGAGCATGTGACTTGCCCAAGGTCACCCAGTGGGTTTCATGTCTGAGCTGGGAATCGAACCTTGGTCTCCAAAACTATAGTCCAACGCTCAAACCACTACACCACGCTGGCTCCTGTTGATGTCTTACACATGCATAGGTTCCCCTACTGAAGCAGGTCTACACTTTTGTCTGCTGTGCAATGTCTGAATTCAATTCAAGGTTGAAGAAGCATAGTTGCACTTGTGGTGCTGTTGCAAATCTCAGCTGAAGAGCATCTGTCTGCCCTTCCTGAACATGTGATCATACATTTGGTTGCATCTTTGGTTGCCCATTCAGTTGTGCATTTGCTTGTATATTTCATTGCATTTTCAGTTGCCTATCCATTTGTGCATTTGACTGCACATTTAGTTGTACATTTAGTTGTGCACTGGCTATATATTTAATTGTTTGTCCAGACCGGCACTTGACTGCATATTTAGTGACCCATTCAGTTGCTATTCGGTGGCATATTCAGTTGTGCATGCAGCTCCCTGTTCCATCAACCATCCAGTTGTACATTTGGCTGCTGTCCATACTGTTAAGCATTTGGTTGTATATTCCACCGCACATCCAGCTACGCATTTGATTGTGCATAGGTTGCTTATTAAGTTGCCCAGTTGGTTCTGCATTTGGTTGCATTTTTGGCTGCCATTCAGTTGTGATTTACTTGCATTTTCAGTTATGGATTCAGCTGCCCATTTGATAGCCCATACAATTATGAGTCTGGCTGCATGTTCACTTGTTACTCAGTTACTCATTTAGTTGTACAATATGGTCATTCAACTCATAGGATGAGTTGTTGTTTTCTTTGCCTTAATGTAATGCTTGTGGCCCAATTACGTGAGTCCTCTCTGTTCACTTTTCCCCCTGATGTGTGTGCGCAAACACTTGGTTTTGGAGGTTTTCTGCAGCTGATTTTTAATCCCTTGACCTTTCTCTCCTCTTCTGAGATCTGTTTTGCTGTGTCCTTCATTAATCACCCAGATATTGCCAATTACAGGATGAAGACATGTTGATGGAAGGCTCATAGAATTGTGAAGTCTAGCCCAGAGCATGGAAAGTTACATTTGTGGAAAAGTGGTACATTACTTTTTTTACTCATTACTCAAAATAGTTTCCAAGGTGCTGCAAATCACAGTGCTAGAAAACTTGTAGATTTTGTTGACCGACTGAACCCAAAGAGTGCTCAGCAATGGCTCCTCTTCATCCTCAAAAGAAGTGACCAGTGGGGTGCCATAGGGTTCTTTCTTGAACCCAGGGCTATTCAACACCTTTATCAATGATTTCGATGATGAAACAGAGGGCAGGCTTATCACATTTGTAGATGACACCAAATTAAGAGGGCTGGCTAATACTTCAGAGTCAGAATTCAAAATGACCTTCATAGATCTTCGCAGAAAGCTGGGACAAAACTAACAAGTTGACTTTCAACAGGGAGAAATATGAGGTACTACATCTAGGTAGGAAAAAATTAAGCCCACAAATATAGGATGGGAAATGACTGGAAAGCAATGACTGGACAGCAATATAACTGAAAAGGAATGAGGGGTCTTGGGGGGGTTGCAGACTGCCAGAAATAGTGCAAATTGAGTCCACTTTTAAGGTTAGGGTTAGGGTTGGGGAATCATGGGAACTGTATTTTATTGTGGCACCAGAGCTCTCTGACAGAGAAGGCTCAATGTCTCAGGAAAAAAACAATTCCCATGATTCCCTAGCACTAACCCTAACCCTAAAAGTGGACTCAATTTGCACTATTTCTGGCAGTCTGCAACCCCCCTTAGTAGACCACAAGCTAAACATGAGTAAACAGCCTGATGCAGCAGCAAAGAAAGCCAATGCAATTCTTGGCTGCATCAATAAGATTACAGTGTCTAGATCAAGGGAAGTAATCCTATCACTGCATTTTGCTTTGGCTAAGCCTCACCTGAAATATTGGGCCTTGGCAGATGGCTAATTGCGCCGTCTCCAAGGCAGGGAAGAGGGGGGCAGCCGCACGCCGGCGCTCCGAGGGCAACCTCCCGCCGCAGTGTCCGCACACGCTGTGGCGGATAAGTCAGTGAAAGTGTGCCCCATGCTTTTGGGGCGCACTTTCACTGACTTGTGAAAGGAGTGCTGATTTAGCGCTCCTTTCAGGGGCACCGATGGGGCGCCGTGGTGAGGATGCCTCGGTCCCGCGGCGCACCGTCCCGCGGCGCCCCAGAGCCTCTCGTCTGCTTCCCCACATTGTGTCCAGTTCTGGACACCACAATTCAAGAGGGATTCTGATAAAGTGCAGAAAAGAGTGACAAAAAAGTAGATCAAAGGTCTGGAAACCAAGTCTTATGAGGAACAACCTAGGGACATAGGAATGTTTAACTCGGAGAAGAGAAGATGCAGAGATGACATGACTAGTAAATTTAAATAATGTAGAGGATGGAGCCATCTAGTTTTCTGCTGCTCCACAGGTTAGAACATGAGACTTTGGATTTAAACATCTGTATCAAATAATGGGCTGCTGTTACATTACAGGGAGCCATGAAAGAGACAGATACACATTGAGGTCAGTGGACAATGGGGCTGATGCACAAAAGGCCCAATGCAAAACAGGATTTATACACAGTGGGACCAATGCGTATTGGAACACTGAATGAAGAATGCTGATGTGCATCAGGACACTTTTGTCACCATCCCATTATGCATCTTTGTAACTCACTAACTGGGTTTTTTAGACCCTCTGCTACATAGCTAAGGATCCATAAAGCTATGTAATGGAGTCTGGGATACAGCAATCTGGCAACTTGTTATTGCAAGAGCTGTTTGTCAGTGGAAGGGACTGCCTCAAAGGATGGTGGACGTTTCTTCTTTGGAAGTCCTTAAACAGATGTCAGGTGAGTATCTTTCAGGGGTGCTTTACTTGTGCATTCCTGCATGGCAGGGGGTTGGACTACATGGCCCTTGTGGTCCCTTGCAACTCTAATATTCTAGTTTGGACTCAAAGTATGGCTCAGGGTGTCATTATATCCATTTGTCATTGAAGTAACTTCCCAAGCTTTCTCTTTAAGCCTTTTCCATTGTCCTGAGAGTGCTTCAATAAAAGTAACTGGTTTAGCGGGAAAGGAAGCTGTTAGTTAAAAGAGCCCCTTTTTGAAAGGGCAACGACAAATCCTCTAAAGGATATCTGGAAGCAAAATTGAAAAGTTTACAATGTACTTTAGAATTAGGCCTTTTCCAGAGGTTAATGTAGTCTTTGTAAGAGAAAGTGGTACAACGTGAGTATAATCTCCTCCTTTTTGCTAAAAGGCTGGGCGTTTTCCTCTGATGTTTCAGAGAAGAGATGAATGCTCGTGTTGTGGCTTGAGTTGTTGGCGTTATTAAGAGACATGTATTTTCACATCAAGTCCTTAATGGCCTCCTTCTGGCCCAGGGAAAGGAGAGCTCACAGAGGCCAGCGCTTGGGAGCAACGGAGCAGGAATGCAAGAAGAGGATTGCTGCCCAGAACTCATTCCCTCCATCATTAGCTTCCTCCTTTAATGAGACTTTCCAGGGTTTTCAGCAGCAAGGCCATCCAGGGAGGCAATAGCTGGTACTAAAATGAAGGAGCAAAGGCTCATGTCTGTCAGGGCCAGGGGTCTGCTGGGTGTTGCATTAATCCTCCCATTGGAATTTGGAGGGCCCAGCTCTATTAAAAAAAATGATTTGTCTCCCCAAAATGCCCAGCCACCCCCCGACTAGAGGGTGAGGGGAGATTGTCATCTTCTTGTTAGGCCCACTTGCACCGTTTAAGGCCCAAGAGAGGCCATTTGAACAACAGGAAGAGCATTTCCCAACACACGCCAGGAAACCAACTGGAAAGTGCAAGAGCACTGCAGGAGCATTCAATGCATATTGGAAGTGTCCAATGCTCATGAGGAGTGGTCAGTGTGCAGCACACATGCCCAATGCACATCAGAGGTACCCAGTGCTCATGAGGAGTGCCCAGCGTGCAACACGAGTGCACAATACACATCAGAAATGTTCAGTGTGCATGAGAGCCCTCCTGCCAGTGTCCAGATGCATATCTTTGCAATTCACTAACAGGTTTTCATCGCTTTTCTGAAATGTGGCTAGAAATGTGTAAAGTTACAAAACATAGACCATGATGTAGGATCTCAGCCAATAACAACAGCAGCAGCAGCAGAATGAAAACATTAGGGATATTTTGGTTGGACCAATTTAATGGGGCAGAAAGGCATTCTGAGGATCCATTTAGATTGTAGAAAAGTTGCAGTTGCCACGGCTCCACCTGACAGAATCCTGTAGTATTCATAATTTGGTGGGACACCATCACTCTTGGCAATGAAAACTAAAGACCTTGTAAAATTACAAAGCCCAGGATAACCATAGGATGGAGTTACAGCACTGAAAGTGTCTCAGACTACATCATTTCCATAGTGTAGATGTATCCTGATAATGTAACCAGACCCACAGGAGAGCATCCCCATGGCCATTCTATCTCTTGCAGGTATATTCCAAAATGACTGACTTTACAGACCTTAACCAGAATCATCTACCATGATCTACATTACATAACTTTACATATACTCAGCTGCATAGTAAAGGCACCAAGAAAACCTGTTAGTAAATTGCAAAGATGCGTAATGGGACACCACCAAGTCTCCAAATGCAAGCTCTAGCAATGCACATCAGCACTCCCTAGCACAGTCGGACCAAAGCACAATGGGATCAATGCAGATCGCTCCTAAGGTTCATCAGTCTGAATGCCTATTGGTCACTTTTTTGGCTCTCTTATGTAGTAACATAAAGCAACCCTGAATGGGATATGGACTTGATGGAACTACAATTCTAATTCCTGTAAACTTTGCATGGCCACTGACAGAGACATAAGTCCCCGATAGGTTTCCAGTCTACATTAAGCAAGAGAGGAACTCTTTACAACACTATACAACAGCAGTTTTGCTATCTCCACTATACACTATACCAGGGGTAGGCAACCTTTCCCCTTTAAGGGCCGAAGGACTTCAGCTCCCAGAATCCCAGGAGCTATTGGCCAACATGGGACTATTGGCCAACATGGCTGAGGCTTCTGGGAGCTGAAGTCCCTCGGCCCTTAA